CCTGGTAATTTTGCGATGAAAGCCAATATGACATGCTGGATAAGAGGAACTGACATGAATAGGCCTTTAAGAGTGTTTTATGATTATTTGGTCAGGGGTTAGGCTTTATGTACTGTCTGCCATCTTTGTAGTGGGAGCATTTTCTCTGTTGTTCCTGCCTCCCATTTTCTGACTTTCTCTAGAGATTCTTCTGAACTGTGAGATTTTCAGTTCTGATTCTTCAGGGACTGCACTCTACTGTACTGTGCAAGGGAGAAGGTTTAATCTCATGTTTAAATGTCAATCTTTAGCCTGGCATTCTGGACCTTGACCTTTATAGCTATGTCTCTGTTTTGTTTTCATTTACTTTCTTGTATCTCTCTCTCTCTCTCTCTCTCTCTCTCTCTCTCTCTCTCTCAGTCTTCAGCATGATTAAGAAGATGGAAAGGTTTAATATGACAAACAGAAAAAAGAAACAGAAATTTATAAATTTTCTGTGTGGCTGAGCAGCAAGTGAGGAAACTCTCGTGGGGCAGATAATCCATCTTGGGAACATGAACATTGGGATGGATATATTGAATAGATCATTTAAAGATTGTGTGTGTGTGTGTGTGTGTGTGTGTGTGTGTGTGTGTGTGTGTGTGTATGTGTGTGTGTGTAGAGGTAAAGCCACTGCTGGCTTAGAGTCATCTCTTAGCCTCTCAAAACTCCTCCTAAATTTTATTTGTATTTTAAAAGGTGAATGACAACCTAAAGCTCAACCCCACTGCAGTCCAGGGCACTTTTCCTAGGAGTTTAGGCTGTTTGTATGGTCAGCTTGAGGACACTGCTCTGTTTAAACAAACCATGGCTCCATCAAGCCAATGCCCTTCTTCCCTGTTTCTTTTGGGGGGGGGGGTTGTTTAATTCCCTCAGCAGGTATGTTGGGAACAGAGAGGTCCTGTTGAACTTCTTTTTTTTTATTTTTTGAGTCAAAATCAAGTAGTGACAACAACCGTGACCTCAGACAGGTCCTTCTCAGCCAGGTTCCATTATTCATCCTCAAAAGCATAACTGCAGTGAAGCAAAATACATTTTCACTTATTGTGAAGCAGAAAGAATAAGTGAGGAGGAATCATGCTGAGTGTAAGTATTAGGACACAGGGATGGAGCTGCCTGGGAGGATGTGGAGAGTAGGGCAAGCCAAAGCAAGCCCCACTTCTCATTCTCTAGAAGTGAGTCAGGTGAAACACTCACACACACACACACACACACACACACACACACATTCAGGATGGTATTGACTCTCTAGGGGCTTGGCTTGGAGGCTTAAATAAAATTATATATGGACACAGATTTTAATATTTTTTCCTTGGCCCTAAGGATTGAATTTACAGCTTTCTACATGCTAAGCAAACACACTCTCTTACTGTGGAGCCTCAAGCCCAGGATCACAAATATACAAAAGTTTCAATCCCCATTCTATGCCAACAAAAACATTTTTTTAATGAAGGGTACAGAACATAGAAAGATTTGAAGCTATAAACATTATTAATATTTTGAAGGCTCTGTGCTAAGTATTTCACAAAGTAGTATTCTGTACAGACATCACCACAACCTTATTTTAATGAAAAAAAGAAAAGAAAAGAAAGAAATTGTCATTCCCAGAAATATGGCTGGGATTTGAACCTAGATCTCACTTTGGCAGCTGAATTCTTATGACTCAGCTGATGAGCCCAGAATAACCTTAGTGATTTTCATCCTGTGACCATGACCTTAATCTCCAGTCCAAAGAGTAAAGAGCAGTGTCAATGTGCTCTGTCTTGAGAAATAAGTTTCAAAAAGAGATACAAAGTCTTGCCTGCAACACCAGGTTTTGGAAAGGGGCAGAGAAAGTGGGAGTGCCTACAGTTCATAAACATTTACCTAAGAGTCTGGATGTGTTCTGCTTTCAGTAGTGAAGTCATTTTTCCAGACTTTGCAAAGCATCATAGCACCATTGGCCAGTGACCCTGTCTCTAAAAACAGACCTGTCAGTACATGATAGATGCTTAAATAAGATAGTTACATGGTCTACTCTTTGGTTTTTCCCCAACAACATTTCCAGTTCAGTGATAGAAGGAGGAGGAGGAGAAGGAGGAAAAGAAGAGGAGGGGAGAATCAGAGGAAGAGTATGAGGAAGAAGAAGAAAAAGAAGTAGAGGAGGAAGAAGAAGAGGAAGAAGAAAAAGAAAAGGAGGAGGAAGAGGAAAAAGAAGAAGAGGAGGAGGAAGAGGAAAAAAGAACAGGAGCAGGTGGAGGAAGAGGAGAAGGAAAAGAAGAAACAAATCTCCAAGCAGAAATACAGTAGACCTACATTGAGTCTTAGAAAACAGACACACTCCAATATTATTGAAAAATATAATATTTAGGAAAAATACAATTTAGCTTAAAAGAAAAGAACTGTCATCCCACCCCAAATTTAGACTTAGTTTATTTTTAGAGGGCACAGAATTGTCATCATTTTTTTTATTATCAGTCAGTCTTGAGGGGAAAAGAAGTTGTGTGTGTTCATTCGTAAGTATCTGTATAGATACTGGTACAGGCTTGCCACAGTATATGTATGGAGATCAGAGATCAAATTTTGGAAATTGGTTCTCCCCTTCCACTTTGCTTTGAGGTCAATATCAGTTACCTGTCACTGTAGGCTAGTTGGCTCATGAAAGCAAAGTCAGTTCTCCTGTCTCTGTCTCCCATCTTGCTGTATGGGGAATGTGATTACAGAAACATGCCAACATATCTTGCATTTTACGTGTCATTTGAGATCCAACTCATGTTATCAGGCTTATGTGGCAAGTGCTTTTACATGGAGTCATCTCCCTGGCCCTGCTTAACAATTCTATGATTATTTATAGTATTCTGTCTGAAACACAATTTTAACTATCAACAAATCAATGATAAGGTGAAAGAAAGAAGAAAGAAAGAAAGAAAGAAAGAAAGAAAGAAAGAAAGAAAGAAAGGAAGGAAGGAAGGAAGGAAGGAAGGAAGGAAGGAAGGAAGGAAGAAAGAAAGAAAGAAAGAAAGAAAGAAAGAAAGAAAGAAAGAAAGAAAGAAAGGGGGCAGCCAAAAAGTTTCCCTCAGAAGCTACTATGTCCTACTATCCTTAGGATGATCTCTGAGTGGCGAAGTCTCTGCTTTCAATCAGGGAACACCAGTGATAAGCTTGCAAAGCCCTCAGAATATGTCCTGAGAACTGGCTCCGTCCAAGCCCCTCTGCACACCCGTTCACAACTCCTCCCGTATCAAGATCACTCTAAGCTGAAGGTTATAGAGTCAGCAGTTCACATATCCAATTTTCGTTTAGCCAAGGCTCATGTAACCTTGAACCAGAAACATAGTCATCCATCAGAACTGTTCCAATTAAATTAGCATGAACGAAAGCTTAATGACAAAATCAGAACCTGGGCATTGAAACAGGAACACAGAGTGTCTGGAACTTTGTTTTTGCAACCTCAACCCCAGGATGGTCTGTTCAATCCAGGTCACTCTTCCCAAACAGAGAGCTGAGGGCTCACTTTGTGTCCACTCTACCTCCCTCTTTGAAAATTATCAAGGCACAGAAGTGTTAAAAGCAACTTAGTCAAAAACACACGAATCTTGAGTAAAAAACCTGTGCTCCTGTTTTTTCTCAGAGCTCAGTCTGTCTGAGTTCTTTCGTCAATGGTGTTGAGTCTGTTCATAGCCAGCAGCTTTAGCAATGCCTGAAATACTTGAAAGCTCAAAGCCTCAGGTTCTCTCAGACCCACAGAGTCAGAAGTTCTGAGGATGAAGCCAGCCCCCGTGTTCTCTACGGTTAAGTCTCCTAGTTGTTCCTGGCACACACTGAGTCCTCATACACAAAAGCCCAAAGATCTAAACAAGCATAAAAGACAGCTGGAGAAACCCACTTCATTCTGAAATCAAAGCAAAGTGGTTTGAAAAGGTTATGTTTGGATTGGGGCATGACAAAGAACTTCTACCAACTGGTGAGTAAGAGGGGGAGATACAAACTGAGTGCCATATGTCACAGCTAGAACAGTAACTATTTCCCTTGTCAAGCTCCATTATTAGAAACTAAGAAAAAAAAGTATGCACCTATGTTTCATGGGACAAAATGATTAAAGGTTGGATTGTTTTCTATCTTAACTATTTTCTGTGTTACCAGTAATGCTCCTTGTTCATGAATTCACCTTCTGCTATCCCGCTGAAAGTGACCTCAGAAGTAGTGCAAACAGATAATTCATTAGTAAGATTTTACACTTAGGAGCTTACATTTGGTGGTATCCTTAAAGAATACACACACACACACACACACACACACACACACACACACACAGTGTTATATAATCTGTAAAAGCTGAGTCAGTTTCCTGCCTGACTCTGTTACCTTATTGATTTGGGAACTTTGCCTTTTGTTTCCAATTCTTCTTGCCTAGAACAGATGTGTGCTGATTTTTACTGGAAGACATAGATATTCTGCAGTATCTTTTAGGCTTCCCAAGTTGTTTATTCATCCTCACTGCTGAAGAGGAGCTTGATTCTCCTGGGTCAGCATGTTGTACTAGCTTGTGAGAGAGGATCTGTACAGAGGTAACTGAAGGTAACTGAAACCGCCACATTAAAACTAGCCTTTATTACATCTCTATTGTTATATTTGCTTATGGTTTATAAATCACATAGAAAACAAATGCATTGCTAACATTAAAAAACACAAAAATGTCTGCTTCAAACAAAAACAAATAAATATTTTTGAAGGGAAATAATATTTTTGTAGATGACTAGAATTTAGAATTTTCTAATACTAAACACTATTGTGAGCCACCACAGTGTCTAAAACAAAAATAAACATTTCAGTGCAAGATAGGCTCTCTTTTAAATATTTTTTAAAAAAATTACAATACAGAATAAGTTAAGATAAAAGACATGTTCTTTGCCTAAAATAAGAACACCAGATTTAGTGATCAGCATAGCGAACAGGGAAGAAATGAGATATGACCAGATAAATTCATTTTGGGAGGCATTAGAGATTCTTAACTTACATTTTAATATTCTGTTCATATACAGCTAACAGCAACAAAGAAAACCAGCCTAGGACCAATCCAACGTTCTGCAGGAGAAACGTCATCCAGGGTCGCTGTGTTTGAACATGAGTCATTTCAGGAAGCTAAAAAAAGAACAACAACAAAAAAAAAACCAGAATAAGATCCAGATATATTCAACTGCTGAGAAAAGCTTGGTGGGAAAGCATGAGTGACTCTGTTATTCAGAACTTAATAACCTTCAAAATTCCCCAAATAGCTACCCAATGTTCAGTACCTATTCTTGCCATGAGTCTGAAATGTAAGCTAAATGGAGCCACTTGCTGGTGGTTGGGAGAAGTTTTAAAATGACAGAGCTGTCAACAGAAGCCAACTTTTCCTTTGTTTTCTGAATATGTTTAAATGTGAAATAAATAAGACATGAAAGAAACAATTTCCAATTGTTCCATTAGGCTTATGAAGTAGCTAAATGTACTAGCCTTTGCAAAGCACTCCTGTTTATTTCCTGTCCAAGAGAGGACCAATGTCCCTATGACCTTTAGAACAACAAAGAAATAATTTCCTAGGGTTGTATTTTATTCTCAAAGAGACAAGTGGAAATAGCATCATGTCTATCAAATGTCATAGCACCATTTGGAAAGAAAGGTGCATCAGGGCTTCTGTGAGAAGAGCCCAGTGCTGGGGCACATATTAGTTTAAAGTCCTCAATCTAACGAGGTGAGCAGGAACAGCACGGCGGCAGGATTGTTTCCTTTGTTACATGTAGACTCAGGTTAGTGTAGTCTGGAGATCTAACCTAATGTTGGTGTCTTTGAGAGCCACTGATGGATGCTCAGCTGTGTCGTTGGCTTCCACTAGATGGCAGGTACACTGATGTCATGGACACCTCAGCTCCTCATGACAACAATCAGAAATAGATAATTATTTTCTAGTATCTTTGTAATTAGTCTATATCCAGATTATAGTAAAGTTTGTGTGTGTGGTAGACAGTATTTATTCTTAGGAGCTTACATTTGGTGGTATTCTTAAAGAATTAACAATATGAACTAAACTTACCCAATATCTTCGAATGTCAATAATTTTAAGCAATACGTGATAGTTAACTCTAAGGATAGGAACATAATTATATCACCTGTGGTCACTTAATGGCTCATATTTTGAATAAACTTATTTACAAATACTGAGCTAAGATTCCTTCTCTTCCTTAGTTTGCAACTAAGCTAATTATCATTTACTGGATGTGGCTGAATTAACAGCATGCTCCAGACATAGTGGCATGTGCCTACAGTTCCAGCACTTGGGAGGTGGAGGAAGTAGAATCAGAAGCCGTCTTTAACTATATAGAAAATTTGAGGCCAGAATGGGATATGTGATACTCTGTCTCAAAAGCTAAAAGTCACAAAAATTTAAACAATTGTTTAATTTCTTACTGTTCTTATTAACCTAAATCTATAATCTGCTGCTTACTTACAGTACCTAAAAAATTGCAGAGAAGCACACACCTGTTTGTAAGAACCACAGAATTCCACCAGTGAGAAAATCATTAATCTTCTATTCTCTGTCTATGACATCATGCTCAAGAAAACAGCACAAATACTTGATGCTCCAAGAACAATAAACTTAAGTGTTCTAACATACTTTTAGAACACTTAAACTACAAAATCTGGTGCGCATTCTATTTGCTTTTCATGTGACCCCATCCACACGCCCTTATGTTTCCACTGTGTCCCTGCTCCTCACAATCCTGTAAGAGATAAAACACTCAGTTCCTATCAGGTATGCAGAAACAATGTGTCTAGGAAGATAATAGCCCATCCACAGCTACACAGATGTGGTACCAGATCCAGGGCTAGAGCCAAACCAGCTTACTCCGGAGCCCAAAGGCCAAGTCTGTCTGAAATTCATTCTTGCTTGTTATGCAAACACCTTCCTGATCATTAGGAAAAAAAATGGAAAATAACAATGTTAAAAAGTGTTCACTAGATAGAAAACTGTCACTCCATATCAAGAAAATTATGAAAATACAGGACAGAACATAAATATGGGGGCATCTCTGCTGCAAAGAAACCACAGCACTCATTCCATGTTTCCAAGACATGGAGTGTGAGTTAAAATCTACAAAGACAGAGTGCCTTGTCCTGCCGATGTGAGCAAATAACAAAAATCACATTTTAAAAAGTTTTATGAAATTCTGGTTTCTCCTCAGATTGTATAAATCATTCTCCTTTTACCAAAATATTTTGCGAGATTTGTAACCCCATATAGAAGTTTTAACTTTAATATGGGGGGGGGGGATCTGTCTCAATGTGCCCTGTCCACAGCTAAAGTGGTTTTGTAACAAAATGCAGCAAATTTGCTTTTCAGACACTTGGCTCTTTCAATAAGTCCATGTGTAGATGCAAAGTCTCACTGTGTCTTGGACATGCATCAAAATCCAAAGAGTGCTATAGAGAGTCTTTTTAAGAGAGATTAATATAAAATGCCAAAGGGCGGGCCACATCTGATTATTGCATCTCAACTTTCTGAATCAACTTATATTTTTTCCGTTTCCATCAGTAACTTTTCAAAGAAATAATGGGAATTAATTTTTCAAGGGCATATATTTCCTCTATTTTGAAAATTGTTAGCAAGAATTGAAGTGCACTCTTTCCACCCCTGGGCTTTCATTAAGAAGTCTCCTTGTAGTCCAGCATAGTAAAACTGTAATGTTGTACATTTTAAATCATGCTTTGGTATATATCAGGAAATAAGAGGAGATGAAACTACAGATAGGGTTTATTATCACTGGGTTATAGTGAAATGAAAATAAGTTTAGCAAAATTATCTTGCCCAGAGATGTGCTAAGAAAAAGGTTCTTTATAGTTCTACTAGAAACTTTGAAGCCTTGAAGTAAAAAAGCAACTTATCTTTTTAAATCATTTTACTAAGTTGCTTTCCTCAAATCAACATTTTTCTTGAGGTAGGGTTTCTCTGTGTAGCCTTGGCTATCCTGGACTTACTTTGCAGCCTCAAACTCAGAGATATCCACCTCCCTCTGTCTTCCAGAGTACTGGGATTATAGGTATGAGCCATTGTGTCCGGCTTCAAGTCAACATTTTGCTACTAAGAGACTTTAAATCTCTGAAGGAAAAATCAGTTTCACCTAAAGCAGTTCTTCTTTTTATTGTCCACTTGACTAGGTTTAGGATCATCATGAAACATACTTCTTAATGTGAGTGTGGCAGTGTCAGAAATGGGCTGGGATCAAGAACTGAACAAAAGAAGAAAGTCAGCTGAGCAGCAGCCTTCTTTTTTTGCTGCTTCCTGAACTCAGACACAATATGACCAGGTCCCTCATGTTTCTGTCACCATGCCTTTTCCATATTAACAAAATGCCTTGTATGGAATTTCATAAAGCTCAAAAATCTGTAATAAGTTGATAAAGCTCTAGACACCTCTAATATTAAATCAAGCAAGAAAAAACAATTTAACCGGATCTTTAACAAGCATTAGTAGGGAAGAATAGTCTACCAACAAACATAATTCTAGAAATGCATATTACTGCCAATTCTGCCACATTATGGTAGAAGACCTATTACCAGTACTCTTCAAAATAGTCCGTAACTAACCTAAAGCCTCCTGCCTGACAGCTAGCTTTCATAGTATCCAAAGATGTTATGTCCTACCCAGCTGTGAAACCCACCAAGCACAACATCATGCCAAGACATCCCCAATGGGGCAATAGTGGTAGTTACATTTTGGGGTCAATCAATAGCTGTCTAATTGAACTTAAGTCTCTCTTAGCAGGAGGGAATTCATGACTGGTATAATAAACCTGACTGTCTACTATGTCTGGAGATCATAAACCTACTGCCGCCACTTTCCTAAACCATAATAATTTCTAACAGCATTCCAAATACTTATTCTTATTCCTAAGGATAAGAGTATCTCTCATTCCTCATCAAACAACTTGTTTTTGCAACTGATGAGGCTGTCACAGAAATCCACAACTGGCTAAGTGCAGAGAACAATAGACAATTGTAGATGTATCATCCCCAAATGTTCAATCCTGACAATTAAGGCTCAGGGAACTCATAGACAGGGCAGGCACCAAGACTGAGACAGAGGACCTTGTTGTTCATTGAAAGATAATGTTGTCTACAAATGATAAGACGTTTCACCAATGAAATATCAAATATGGCCACCTAAACAAGACCTTCACAATGACAATATCAACTGACATGCCAACATGGATGGCAGAAATCTCACAAGGTTCGACCTTTAAATGAAGCACTACCACCAATTAATGCTGCCTGAGAAAAGAATCAGTCTTCTTGAGGAATGAGCCTCCTCACAGGTTATCCAATTCCAAGTGGTGAGCCCTAAACACTTACACATATGAGCAACATTAAATGGACCCAGCAGGATGCATGAGTATATGTGTTTACATGTGTATTTACATATATTTGCAGAGCAATAATTAAAGTTTACAAAATCAAGGAGAAGACAAGGGGGGAGATGAATAAGGAAGTGAGAGAAGTGGAAATGATATAAATACAGCACTCAAAAAAATTAATTAATTTAAAGAAAGTCCCATACAATTGAGAAGGAAGAAACACTACCAATCGAATTCTATAAATTTATAAAATAATTATTAAATGGTGAAAAAGTAATAAATAAATAACATTTATAGATCTTTTTTTTTGATGAACATAGATTCAAAATTCTTAACAAAACACTTTGTACAATTTTACAACACATAAAAAAAGTATTCCATGACCAAGTTAGTTTCATCCTAAGGGTGCAAAAATGTTTCAACATATGCAAATCAATAAACATAACATAGCACACAGATATTTAGGAATTGAAATCAGATGATTATCTACAAAGTTCACTATTCCTTCATGATGCGGCCCTAAAGATACCAAGAATATGTGCTGTTTTTGTTTTTGTTTTGTCAACTTGACACAAGCTAGAGTCTCTAGAAATATCAAGGAAGAGAGAGAAAGTGCCTCCATCAGATTTGCCCAAAAGCAAGTCTGTCATGCGTTTTCTTGATTGATGATTGGATGGCACATCCAACTATGGGTGATGCAACCCCTGGGTAGATGGTCCTGGGTTGCATAGGAAGCAAACTGAGCAAGTC